AATTCAGAGTATGAGGATGAATAAAGGAAAAGAGAAAGGGAGAAAAATGGGGGAGAGAGATAACCCATATCTTTTATGATCATGAAAAGAAGCACTGTTGGGTTTCAACCATTGCTAATTTTGATAGTATGAATAGACAGAGCTAGAGCACCAATTTAAGAGAAAGGGTCTGAATTCAGATATTTTGGTCTGTCTGAATCTTGATTCTGGCACTAACTAGGTGACTATTTTATAAGACTTAAAGATTTTTTGATGGAGGGACACAACATACTGACACGTGAAAGGATGAAAAGCAGAACTTTTTGTTAACTACAGCTTTATAGGAGAGAAGGCTTCCATGTTAGGCTACATAGCGCATTTAACCTAAGGACAGAGAAAGAGCAAGTTGGAGCTGCAAAAGGCAGCTTATATATGGCACGCACTTTATATATGCTAAACTGGGTTTCAGGGGCCTTCTGTGGATTAATTTCATAGGCCTCTCTTTAGTGTGGATCTTTTGATGTTTAATAATGACTAGCTTTTGCACTTTTAAGTCTTAAACTTTCTTTGTAATTGCAGGATTTGTCTCCTGTGTAAGTTTCCTAATGTTCAGTCAGCCCTGGGCTGAAGTGCTTCCCACTTGAGGAGTGTGTGTTCTGATATTTTTCAAGACTTTTACTGGGTCTTTGGTCTCAACCTCATTCTGTTTAGAGATTCTCTTTCAGAAATTAATTCCCAACAAGGTCCACTCTGTGGCTCTTACTTCCCTACAGGTCATCCTGTTTCTCCTCTGAGCATTGCAATTCCCAGTGCGGAATGCCCTCTGGTTGCTGGGTTGCCCGTGCCCCTCCTGTTTGCAAGGTTTCTCCTCATAGTGGATTCTCTGATGCTCAGCTTACAGAGCCCTAGAGCTCAGTTTGGTGAAATCATTTTTCTCTTTAGTGGATCTCCTGAAGTCAAATTAGGGATGAGTAGTACACAGACACTTCTCTATACTTTTCTTGTAGAGAAATCTACAAGGTTTCTCTACTGTGTGAACTACCTTATGCTGAATCAAGGCATACCGGTAAGTAAAATTTTAACTGCATTGATACCTACCAAAGCATTTCTTTCCAGTATGTTTCTCAAAATCATCAGAAAGCTTTGTATTTTGAGTAAAGGCTTTTCAACAAGTGTTTCTTGCTTGTGGGAAGTCTCCAATGTTGACTAGAGGCTGATCTTTTGACAGATTTTTTACGTTCATCATATTTATAGGGTTTTACTCTAGTATGAACTCTCATTAATAAGACCATTGTCTGAATTAAATATTTTCCACACTCTTCAGATACGGTGGGTGAAACGAGAATGTGCTTTCTTTGATGCTCAGAGAGGTCTACACTTGGAGGGCTCCCCCATGCACACCAGGCCTCCAAGGCTTTGTCTGCTTCTGATTATGAACTTAATTGTGGATAAAGTTCATTTTGAAATTAATGAGCTTGACTGTTTTCTTAATCTTGTAATATACCCACTGCTTTCTTGATCTCTCCTTCATTTCTTGGGAAATTTTCCTGTTGGGTGTGCCAGATAAGTCCCTGTGTGGCTCCCTTTTCTCATAAGTTTCTTGCTGTGAACACATTTCTGTATTTGCTTCTGGAGTCACTATCTGAAGCTATAGACTATCCAAGAAGGAAAATACATTTAATGAAATGAGTATGACTCAAATTTATGAGGCAGTGTTTTAGTAAGTGGGTAACATAGCTTTCCCATGTAGGAGGTCCCCCTAGCATGAGTCGGCAGAAAGGCAGAATGATTGGTGAATGTCACAGAAAAAAAAAAAATGGAAAAGAAAAGAAAAGAAAAGCACAGTAGGAAGCCAATCAAGATGAATAGAAGGGAGGATATTTGAGAGCAAAAAGAAACTGTACTGAGCTTTTGTAAAGGCAAATCAATGCAAATAGGTAAGTGTAGACATGTGGACTAAGTACAAAATTTTAGAAAAGTAACCAGTAGTAAGAAGATAGAAAAGAGAAGTTGAATATGATGTTTTTAAGGTTGATTTATAATTGCTAGTAATAGACAATCATAAAAAGATCACCGAAGAGCGGCGCCTGTGGCTCAAATGGGTAGGGCGCTGGCCCCATATACCGGAGGTGGTGGGTTCAAACCCACCTCGGCCAAAAACTGCAAAAAAAAAAAAAAAAAATCACAGAAAACATGAGGGTATATGACAGAGACACATGAAAAATAAGCAATTTAAATGACAAGTCAAGGTTAGTAGGTTTCCTCCATTTGAGATACTTATTATCCTAAGTCAAAAAACTATGTGCCCTGAAATCTCTTTTCATTTGAGATTTCTTAAATAGATCCTTATCATAAGCTTTGCTGGTTGGTATAAAAAAGAAAATTATATGGAACAAAAATGTTGCATGGTTATGGTGTTTAAAATAAAATGTCTAAAAAACATGAAGACTAATTCTCCAAAGATAGTCAGGAAAGACTGAGTGCTGTTATATTGATTTTGCTTGGGGTTGATTTTCTGGAAGAGGAGGGGAAAGGGGTGCCAAAAACATGTTAAAGAAAGAACAATCCAATATCAAAGATTTGCAGAATTTATGACTAACTGGAAATAAGGGAAGCAAGAGAAGGAAGAAAAATGGTATATATGTGGTGGGAATGCTGGAAAAATTTTAATTTATCTTGGAACTATTTTTTATTAAGTATGACAATGGTGGTGTAGAAGAGTATCATTCTTTGGAGAAGTATACTGAAGGGCTTATGGGTAAATCACCATGATGTTTACAACTTGCTTTTAGATGGTTCAGCTGAAAAAAAGAAAAAAGAAATTAATAAAGGAGGAAATAAAGAAAAGTGTACATGTTGTCTTAATATGTTTGGGCTGCTATAACAAAAATACCATAAATCAGGTTACTTACAAGCAATAAATAGTTATTTCACACAATTCTGAAGGCCAAGAAGTTCAAGATCTATGTTTTGGCAGATTTGACATCTGGTGACCCATTCTTCATAAATAGTGACTTCTTGCTCTGTTGTCCTACAGTGAAAGGACAGGCAGGTCTCTGTGGTCTCTTTTATAAGGACATCAATTCCATTAATGAGGGCATCTCCCAAAGGGTCCATCTCCTATCACAGTGGCAATTAGTTTTCAATATATGAATTTTGGGTAGACACAAATATTCCAACAGTAGCAGCAGTATATATTGTGATAAAGCAAATGTGGCAATTAAAAAAAAAAAGTTATTTCACCAAAATAAGAAGTTTACGAGCAAGAGGGAGTGAAATCATACACGAAAGGCAATAGAAACCAAGCAATTTCTAAATAAGGGGAGTCACTAGTCATGATTTGTAAATATGGAGAAAGGGTTGTTGAGAAATATGCCCCAGTCCGAGAACCACAGGTCCTTAACCTTTTATTTTCATTTTTATTTCTTGGCCAGGGCTGGGATTGAACCCATCACCTCTGGCATATGGGGTTGGCACCCTATTCCTTGAGCCACAGGCACTGCCCCCAATCCCTTAACATTTTTGGCCTCATTTTATCTCTAACTATAAAATGACCTTGAGTAAGTCATCTAAACTCTGAGTCTAGTTTGCAATCTATGAAACAAGAGATTGGGTTATTTTCATCCAATTTCCCCTTCCTTTTTTTTTTTTAGACCAGTAAAAAAATTTTTTAGGAGTTTTTATATAAAAAATAGAAAAAAGCTGGTGGGACTGCAAACTAATACAACCTTTTTGGAAGGAAGTATGGAGAACTCTCAAAGAACTCAAGCTAGACCTCCCATTTGATCCTGTAATCCCATTACTGGGCATCTACCCAGAAGGAAAAAAAATCCTTTTATCATAAGGACACTTGCACCACACTGTTTATCACAGCTCAATTTACAATTGCCAAAATGTGGAAACAGCCTAAATGCCCCCCAACCCAGGAATGGATTAACAAGCTCAAGCTGTGGTATGTGTATACCATGGAATACTATTCAGCCATTAAAAAGGGAGACTTTATAGCCTTTATATTAACCTGGATGGAAGTAGAACACATTATTCTTAATAAAGCATCACAAGAATGGAGAAGCATGAATCCTATGTATTCAATTTTGATATGAAGACAATTAATGATAATAAATGACATGGTGGAAGGTGGGGGAAGGGGAGAGCAGAGAGAAAGAGGAGGACGGAAGTGGGAGAAGGAAGGGCAGAGAGAGGGAAGGAGGAAGGAGGGTGGGGTCTCGGTGTGTGATATACCTTTGTGGGGCAAAGCACAGTTGTAAGAAGTACTATACCTAACAAATGCAATCAGTGTAACCTGGTATCTTGTACCCTCAATGAATCCACAACAATAAAGAAAAAAAAGCAATCTCTAACAAGGTCAAGGGCAAGGATATGCTTATTTCTAGGTGATTATGTATAAAAGGACCCAACGTTTATAGACTTTCCTTGTAGACCAACTTAACTTGGAGTCAAGGCATGCTACTATTCTAGAAATGATATGCTAGCCAAGGTGAAAGAAATATCCCCACCTTCTCTAGGCCTTCCCTTTCTAAACTTATTATACCAGTAATAAGTGCTTCTGATGAAATGCTAATGATACATGTAGCCCAGTTCCACCTCACTATTGTCATTATCATAGTCTTTGGCTACAAAGGTTGGGTCCTTTTACACATAATTACACCTAGAAATAAGCATATCCTTGCTATTGATGCTTCAATATTGCTGAAAAAACAAGATTAAGAAGTGGGTCATTTAGCAAGTATCCACTGTGTGCAAAGTTTTTCAATAAAGCTGGCTTTTTTTGTCAAAGAAAAAAAAAATAGAAAAAAGCCAAGCTTTTTCCCAGGTAAAGCAAAAGGGATTGGATGCCCAGAACCCTTCTTGACTAACCTGATCTTGCTCGTGGCTGACATCCAAGTCACATCTGGGTAGTTATCTAACATGCCAGTTTGAAAATCAATTGTTTTGCTGGTATAAAAGGCCTTTTACAGGTCTTTCATATACCGCTTCTTAAATTTGTATTTCATTTTTTAAAAATAATGGAATACTTGCTTCATGAATTTGTGTGTCATCCCTGTGCAGAAACCATGCTAATCTTCTCTGCACTGTCCCAACTTTAGTATTATGCTGCTGAAGCAAACACAGTTGTCTATAATTTAAAACATAAATTTGTAAGGCAGGCAATTCTTAAGCTTCTCGAAGAGGCCTTTCCTGATCATCCAAAAGTAGCCTTTACCACACTCTAGTTACTAGCACATCTTTTTTTTACAGCATTTATTGGTACTCGATATTATAAATTTTGTGTACTGAGTGTATACAAAATATAAGCATATTTTTCAGTTCTCCCTCCTTAAAATATACCTTGAGGGAAGTGATGCTTTAATCTAATATAGAGGCACCTGTGGCTCAAGTGGCTAAGGCACCAGCCACATACACCTAAGGTGGTGGGTTCGAATCCAGCCTGGGCCCGTCAAACAACAATGATGGCTATAACCAAAAAATAGCTGGGCGTTGTGGTGGGTGCCTGTAGTCCCAGCTACTTGGGAGGCGGAGGCAGGAGACTGGCTTGAGCCCAGGAGTTGGAGGTTGTTGTGAGCTGTGATGCCACAGTGCTCAACCCAGGGGGACAGCTTGAGGCTCTGTCTCAAAAAAAAAAAAATTTAATATAGATTAATAATTAGATGCTAGTGTCTAGGTGCTCAATATTATTTGTCACCTAAGGACTTCAAAAACATCAGTTTCCATGTGGATATTTAATTGATCCTTTATAAGGACAATTTGATCATTTTACAGGCAATTCAAAATGGAAAGCTGTTCTGCCTTTGGGATAGCATCAGGGAAGTTGGTAATATTAAGTTAGAATGGAGAAACTGAACCAGGCAATACAAAATAAGAGACTAGCAGGATTTTTCAATAGTTTTAATGCAAAGAAGTGAAGAAAGAAAAGAAACGCAATCCAGGTCAAAACAATATGTTTAAAGGAACAGGTATAAAGTGGAACAGGACTTAAAGATCAAATGAAAGGTAGGCAAACATTTTAGTGATCAGGCTCAGTTGGAAAAATGCAAAGACACCAACATTTCCTAACTTTTTCCCAGTGAGATCTCCTCCTCTCAACTTTCTCCTGAACAAGGTGCAGTTCCCAATACTCAAACCTGAGCTGACGTTCACTGGCTGGAGTTGGACCCTAGGAAAGTTTTATGCTGCTGCCAGATACATTACTTGTCTTTGGGACATCATTTCTTGTCCCTAGAGGAGGGCAGAGATCTGGGAAAAATTTGATGCAACTTGACCAGGATGCTATTTGCTAACAGCTTACGATCCTATTACTGTGGAACACAGGATGGAAGGGCAGAAAGCAGTATTTTCCTAATCTGTAAGGGCAGAAGATAAAAGGAGAGAGGAAACTACACAGGGCCAATAAATTAAAATGAAAAAACAAAATAAAAACAAAACCAAATAACTCTGGCCAATACATGTTAGCCATTTTCTTCTGACTACAGTAGAGAGTATGTCTCAACTCACTCTCTCTCTCTGAAGATAATACCCGCTGTTTGATAATAGACCATTTTTGTTTTACCTTAGCTTTCCTCCTCAATCATTCACCTTCCTCTCCAAGTTCTTCAGTATAGTGAGAGCCTCCTTCCTATACTTTGGCCTATGCCCAGGCTTTGAGTTCTTGAACAGGATGATCAGGAACTATTCCAGGATTAGTAGTTCCAAGCCAGGATGCTCTATATCTGTGGTCTCAGCCACTCAGGGCAAAGAGCGTGGAGCAGACTCTTGATACCTAAGTAAATAACCATAGTGGAACTGCCTAAAGTTTTGTCTACAGAACTTGGGCCAGCAGCTCCATTTCTGTGCAAGCTAGATTAACTATTTGGCATTTCTTTAGCAGCCCAGTAGGGCTGGAGTGAATCCATTCCTGGATGGAACAGCTCAGAAGACTGGCTCACTGCAGCAGTAGGTGTGCTTCTTAAGGCATAATACATCATTGTTAGCAGAGACCAACTCCAAACTATGAATATATTTACTCAGAGAGCCTGGCTGTGATCAAGGCAATGATTTGAAGCTAAAGAACCTCTGCAGAAGATAAAGAAGTAAAAATGGCATAGAAATCAACCAAAATGTTTTAGTTACTTTAGGATCAAATAATAAGACCCTACTAGCTTTCAGATCTAGAAACTTTAGTGAATTATTCAGATGATGAAGAAAAACAATAATTGCAAAAAGCAATGCAAACAGATTTGCCTGCTTATATTGCATGTCAGAAATATAGTCAATTAACATTTACAGGTAGACCTCAGAAATACTGAAGGTTTGGTTCCAGACCATGACAATAAAGCAAATACTGCATTAAAGGAAGTCATACAAACTTTTTGGTTTTCCAGTGCATATAAAAGTTATGTTTACATTATACTGAATGTATGTGTGTAATAGCATTATGTCTAAAAAAGCATATACCCTAATAAAAAAATTTTTCTTCATTAAAAATACTAACAATGATTGGAGCCTTCAGTGAAGGCACTCCACTTGTGCTAGTGGAGAGCCTTGCCTTGATGTAGATAGCTGCTGACTAATCAGTGTGGTGGTTGCTAAAGGTTGAGGTGACTGTGGCAATTTCTTAAAATAAGACAGCAATGAAGTTTGTTACATTGATTAGCTCTTACTTTCATGAAAGATTTCTCTGCAGCATACAATGGTGTTTGATAGCATTTTACTCACAGTAAAACTTCTTTCAAAATTGGAGTCAAAGCTCTCAAACCCTGCTGGTGCTTCATCAATTAAGTTTATGTAATATTCTTTTTTTTTTTTTTTTTTTTTTGAGACGGAGCCTCAAGCTACCTGGGTAGAGTGCCATGGCATCATGCTCACAGCAACCTCCAACTCCTGGGCTCAAGCGAGCCTCCTGCCTCAGCCTCCCAAGTAGCTGGGACTACAGGCACCCGCCACAACGCCTGGCCATTTTTTGGTTGCAGCCATCATTGTTGTTTGGCGGGCCCAGGCTGGGGATTCGAACCTGCCACCTTAGGTGTATGTGGCTGGCGCCTTAGCCGTTTGAGCCACAGGCGCCGAGCCAAGTTTATGTAATATTCTAAATACTCAGTTGTCATTTCCACAGTGTTCACAGCATCTTTACCAAGAGTAGATTCCATCTCAAGAAAACATTTTTTTTGCGTTTATCTTTAAGAAGCAACTCCTCATTCACTGAAGTTTTATCATGAGATTGATGCAATTCAATCACAACTTCAGGCTTCGGTTCTAATTCTCTTGCTATTTCGGCTACCTCTGCAAGTTTTTTCTTCCACGGAAGTCTTGAACCCTTCAAGAGGTCTGACATCAATTTCTTCCAAATTCCTGTTAATGTTGACATTTTGGCCTTCTCCCATGTATCATGAATGTTCTTAACAGTATCTGGGATGGTGAATTCTTTCCAGACAGTTTTCAGTTGACTTTTCCCAGATCCATCAGAGGAATCATGAACTATGGAGGCTATAGTCTTACTCCACATATGTCTTCAATTCCAACTGGAAAGTTGAAACTACCTTTGAACTAAGGGCTAAAGAATGCATGTTGTGTTAGAATACACAAAAACGCATTAATCTCTTTGTATATCTCCACCAGCTCTCAGGTGATGAGGTGCAGTTAATGAGCAGTTAATATTTTGAAAGGAACTTTTTTTCTGTGCAGGTCTCAACAGTGGGCTGAAAATATTCAGTAAACCATGCTTTAAACAGATGTGTTAGCATCCAGGCTTTGTTTTTCCATTTATAGAGTACAGGCAACATAGATTTAGCACAAGGCTTAAGGCACTAGGATTTTCAATATGGTAATTGAGCATTGGCTTCAACTAAAACTCATCAGCTGCATTAGCTTCTAACAAGACAATCAGCCTGTCCTTTGAAGCTTTGAAGCCAGGCACTGAATTTTCTTTTTAGTTACAAAAGCCCTAGATGACATCTTCTTCCAAAATAAGGCTGTGTCATTTACACTGAAAATCTGTTGTTTAGTGTAGCCACCTTCATCAATAATCTTAGCTACATCTTCTGGATAACTCACTGCAGCTTCTACATCAGAACTGCTGCTTCACCTCACATTTTTGTATTTTGGAGACAGCTTCCTAAACCTCATGAACCAACCTCTGCTAGCTTCAAACTATTCTTCTGCAGCTTCTTCACCTCTCAAGCCTCATAGAATTAAAGATAGGGACTTATTCAGGATTAGGCTTTGTCTTAAGGGAATGTGTGGCTTATTTGATCTTCTATCCAGACCACTCAAACTTTCTACATATCAACAAGCCTGTTTTACTTTATTTTCACTTATGTGTTCATTGGAATAGCACTTTTAATTTCCTTTAAGAACTTTTCCTTTGCATTTGCAACTTGGTTAACTGATGCAAGACGGTTATCATTCAGCCTATCTCAGTTTTTGACTTTCTTTCCTAAGTTAATAATTTCCAACTTTTTTTTTTTTTGAGACAGAGTCTCACTATGTCACCCTTGGTAGAGTGCTGTGGAGTCACAGCTCACAGCAACCTCAAACTCTTGGGCTTCAGCAATTATTTTGCCTCAGCTTCCCAAGTAGCTGGGACTACAGCCACCTGCCACAATGCCTAGCTATTTTTTGGTTGTAGTTGTCATTGTTGTCTGGCAGGCCCAGGCTGGATTCGAACCCAATAGTTCCAGTGTACGTGGCTGGTACCCTAGCCGCTGAGCCAATAATTTCCAACATTTTTTTCTTTTTTTTAAGAGACAGAGTCTTACTTTGTCACCCTTGGTAGAGTTCTGTGGCATCACAGCTCACAGCAGCCTCCAGCTCTTGGGCTTAGGTGATTCTCTTGCCTCAGCCTCCTGAGTAGCTGGGACTACAGGTGCCTGCCACAATGCCTGGCTATTTTCTTATTGCAGTTTATCTGGGGCCAGGTTTGAACCCACCACCCACGATATATGGGGCTGGTGCCCTGCTCACTGAGCCATGGGCACTGCTCCAATAATTTCCAACTTTTAATTTAAAGTGAGAGACATAAGCATCTTCCTTTCACTTGGACACTTAAGAGGCCATTATAGGGTTATTTTTTATTTGTTTGTTTGTTTGAGACAGAGTTTCACTATGTTGCCCTCAGTAGAGTGTCACGGAATCAC